CTTCCCATCCAGTTCCACCTCCCACTAGATCAGACTGCTCCTAGCTCCCTGGCCCAGTTGTTGGGGTTTTCCAGATGAAAACACCTCGGTGTGTGTGGGGATGCCACGTGCTGCTCCTTCAGCAGGAGGTTCCCAGCAGCTGGGTTTTCAGTGATTCCCAAGCCGGGAGCCCCATCCTGGCAGGTTGTGGGTGCTGCTCTCAGCAGTCCAGGGTCCCACTGCACCCCACGCTTGTGGGATGGGGTTGTTTTGGAGGACAGCCCTGCCTTCAGTGGAGCCCAAAGGATGGGTGTGAAACAGGCAGCCCCGCCGGGGCTGGGCTGCAGGCACGCTGACCCCTGTGTCCCCCAGATCGCCGAGGGCACCTTCGAGGCCTTCCTGCAGTCGCTGCTGCAGTTTGCGTCGCAGCACGTGTACAGCTGCGACCTGTGCACCCAGCGCGGCTTCATCTGCCAGATCTGCAACAGCAGCGACATCATCTTCCCCTTCGAGTTCGACACTACCACCAGGTGAGAGAGCCCCTCTGCCCGTCCCGCTGTGCCCAGGCACCCAGGGGCACAGCCTGCCTTGAGCCAGGAGCCCCAGCCAGCCCCTGAGTTCTGGTCACAGACCCCACTTGCAAGGCACGTAGGGAACTGGACATGGCTCTGAGGTGGTTGTGCATCCTTGTCTGCAACCTTGTGGTTCCCATGTGCTCAGCCATGGGAGCCATATTGTGGTGCCCATGTCCTCATGGCAGCCACATGTGCCTTGTGGGAGTCACATCCTCGTGGTGCCAACGTCCTCATGGAAGCCCTGTCTTCATGTCCCACATTCTTGTGGGAGCCATGTCCTTGTGGTGCCCATGTCCTCATGAAAGCCCTGTGTTCATGCCCCACATTCTTGTGGGAGCCATGTCCTCGTGGTGCCTGTGTCCTTGTGGGAGCCATGTTCTTGTGGTTCCCCATCCTTGTGGGACTCATCCTCACATGCCCACATCTTCATGCCCATGTCCTCATGGAACCCATCAGCTCCAGGATGCTCCAAACCAAATCTGGGCTGTTTGGGGCAGGAGCAGACCGTCCTCACAGAGCCAAGATGTCACTAAGAGAGGTGGCTGTGCAGACTGAAGATGCAGAACCACCAGCACTTGCTGTCAGCCTGCAAAGGCCTTGCTGGGTGCTAGGGCAGCCAAGGGGCTGGAGATAAGAGGAGGAGGAAGGTTCTGCATGTCTCTGTCTTGCTCACCTGGCCAGTGCCTCTCACACTTAGGGTCAGTCTGACCCCTTGCAGGGGCTGCAGGAGGGAAGGGGAAGCAGCAGTGGGACTGTCCTACATCCCTCTACAGCCATGGAAGGAAGGACAGACACATGGACACAAATTTCATAGAGTGCCAAAATGGTTTGCTTTGGAGGGACCTTAAAGCCCATCCAGGGACACCTTCCAAGTCCTGTCCAAGCTGGCCTTGGACACTTCCATGGGTGGGGCAGCCACAGCTGCTGTGGGAGCAGAGGTGGATGGGGGGCAGCACTGTGGGATGTGCTGGGAGAGGCTGAGGGTGTTCCCAGCAGGAGAGGGGTGATACTGGCTCTCACTGGGGTTTTCCCCTGCCCACAGAGCTTCCATTCCTCACAGGCAGAGGGACCTGTCCTGCAGTGGGGTCAGCTGTGGGTCAGGGTGCAGCAGCTGGACAGAAGTTGGAATCAGGATGGGGATGGTGCTAGAGGGGAGCTCTCGTCCCCACCACCATCAGGATTTGCTGAAGAAGTCAAACCCTTCCAGCCCAGGAGCCTGCTCCACTGTAGCTGGAGAGATCCACATCTCCATGGTTATGCCATAGAATTGTAGAATCATTCTGGTTGGAAAAGCTCTGTAAGATCATTGAGTCCAGTTCCCCCAGCACTGCCAAGGCCACCCCTGGCCCATGTCCTCAGGTGCCACATCCACAGGGCTTTTAAATCCCTTCAGGGATGGTGACTCCACCACTTGCCTGGGCAGCCTCTGCCAGAGTTGGACAACTGTGTCAGTGAAGAAATTTTCCATAATATCCAACCTAAGCCTCCCCTGAGGCAACTTGAGGCCATTTCCTCTTGTGCTGTCTTAGCCTATTTGGCATTGAGCACAATCCTGGCAGAGAGATTTCACAGGTTCATGGGCTGCATGGTCTCACTTTGCCTGGCAGTCCCTAAAAGTGAGCAGCAACACCCAGAACCTGCAGAAAACACCACGGATACCGGGATCCGTGGGTGCTCCATGTGTTCCAGGGCTGCGAGTGTTTCCGTGGAGGAGGAGCAGCGCTGCTCGCTCCCCTCCCTGCCACAGGGACAGCACTGAGCTCATTATCGAGGACAACAACATCCCCAGGGGACCGATTTTCCCTGGAAAAAGAGCAGCCGGGCTCTGGAAAGTGCTGGCACGCAGGGCTGAGCTGGCTGGCGGCCGGCCGGAGTTCCCGTGTCCCGTGGAGCCGAGCTCTGAAGTTTGTTGACGTCTTTCTTTCTCGCCCTGACGGAGGAGGTTGTGCAGCAGGAAAGCGGCTCAGCGACATCCTCGCGGAGCTGAACGCGGCTTCCTGCCCCTCTGCCCGCCCCGGGCTGCCGGGTCACACCGGCACTGGCTGCAGGATGTGTCTGCAATGCCTCAAACAATGACCCCGCCAGCGCAGGACCCTCTGCTGCTCCGGCAGCTCGGGGGGGAGCCAGAGGCAGGAGATGCTGCTTCTCGCTCGTAACCACTCCGGGTAAAACCCGGCTTCCCAAATCCCCCCACGCTAGGGGAGCAGCCGTCACTGCTGCTGATCCAGAGGCCACATGGAAGTGTGTTCCACCGGGGGAAGGGGTTTTTTCCACCCAAATCCTGCCTGTCCATGCACGAGTCTTTCCCTGTCCCGAATCCCTCAGGGTTTGCAGCTCCTCTCTAGAGCAGGATTTCGCCCCAGCTGAGATGCTGTGGTCCCTTTCCTGGCACTGCTATGTGTTTCTCTGCCTCTTTCCCATGCATCTTTTGGGGAATTAAGGTGTTTCATGCTGTTCACACATGGATTGTACACCAGGTATTTGCACAGTGAAGGTAAATCTGGCTGCCCCGCTGGCATGTGGCTGAGCCACATTTTACTGCCACTCAGGAGTTGGGGATCACAACCCAAAAACTGACCTCAGCCCTTATAGCAGGGACGTTTCTGCTGGTGACTGAGCAGTGAAACCCCTGCCTGAGCTGGGGTCCTTCGCAGGGTGTCACATTCCTGCTGCTGCTGAGCCAGATCAGGGAGCTCTGGCACCTCCACGGAGCCACCTGCTCAAGGGCAGCTCCCTCCTGGCTGCCTGTCCCTTCCCTGCAGCTCTGCTGTCCCCACAGTGTCCCTGCCACATGCAGCTCATGTTGTCAGGGTGGGCTCTGCCACCCCAGCCGTGGCAAGCAGAGGGTCCCCAAAGCGATGCTGTCACAGGGGTTGTTGATGAGGGATCAGTGTCAGGGGTTGGTGTCATGAGATTGGTGTCAGGGGATCAGTGAAACAAGGGTGGATGTCTGGGGTTTGGTGTCACAGGGTTCGTTGTGCAGGGTGTGTTGTCACACCCTCGAACTGCGCTCGGTGCTGGGAGAGCAGGGCACAAACCTCAGCACAAACCTCACTCCTGTCTCTCTCACACATTGGCAGCGCCCACCACGCTCCTTCCGGCCCGGCTCGGAGCTGCTGGGGTGGATGAGGAGCTGCTGGGGTGGATGTTCCACTCAAGCAGCTGCTGCTCCTGCACTCAAGGCTCCCCCTGAGCCGGGGCTGGGGCTCTGCTCTGTGAGTGCTCAAAACGCACCAGGACAGGGAAGTGTCCCCTGGTTCAGTAGGGGAAGTTTGGTCTTTGTTCTGGCGTGCTCAACACAGTGGGTTTCGTTTTTTCCTTCTTTTCCCAGGTGCAGTGAATGCAAAACCGTCTTCCACCGGGACTGCCACGCCCGGGCCCCGGCGTGCCCGCGCTGCGAGCGGCGGCAGCGCTACCAGCGGCAGCTGGAGGCCAGCACGGAGCCCAGCCTGTAGCCTGGCACTTACCTCGACACTGCCCTGGGAACGGGGATGGTGGGAGGGACAGAGCAGAGCCCCTGCCTGAAAGCCTGTCCTGCACCTGGCCCTGCCCCAGGGACAGGGACAATGTGGGGTGGGTGCTCCTGCCCTGCGGAGGGACCCTCTGCCCACCCAGGGCTGAAGAAAGGGGCTGGACAAATCCATCCCCCTTCACACTCACCGGGTGCTGTTCCCTGTCACCCTCCTGGTGCCAATGTCCCCTTCCAGTGGAACCCAGCGGCTCTTCAGGGTGTCATCCCACAATTCCAGTCAAGGGTGGGGAGAACTGACATTGATCAAAGCTCTAGTTTTTTAGGATACTGAAAACTGGTATTTTTTTACATGGGGGTTTTGCACAACTGGGCTGCTCTGGGTGGTGGACCCACGCAGGGAGGGGACAAAGTGACACTTGTGCCTTTAGGGACCTGCATGCCCCAGGGGGACCGTGGGTGCCCCAAGCATCTCCTGCTCAGACAGCCCAGCCAGGGCCGGGGAGAGCCGGGCCACTCCTCCCGGCCTGCTGCTGCTCATCCTCGGGAGAAATTTTATTTTCCTTTAACCCCTCCCCACGCAAAGATAATTAAAAGTCTATTTAACAACAGGTGGAGTGATTTCTGAGTTTGCTTCTCCACAGTGGGACCTCATCACAATTTGAACCTGACACGGTGTCTGTGGGAAGAGGATTGGGAATGGGGATGCTGCCTGTCCCTTGTCCTCTATCCTCCTGCCCATCCGCCATCCTTCTTGCCCTTCCTCCATCCTCCAGGGTTTCACTTGGGCAAGTGATTGGGGGTCCCTTCCCCATTTTCCCTGCCCCGTTTTCCTTCCCAGCTGCTCCCCGCTGGTGTCAGCTTCTCCCATTGTTGTTTTCCCCACCACTCGTGTGCTGGGAGGACTTGGGATGTGCCCACCAACACAGCAGAACTCCCTGGGGTGCATGGGGACAAAAACCAGGGCAGGGCAGCTCCCATGGGCCCCCCTAATGGGGTCCCCATCCCACTGCCCAGGGAGGCCGTGCCAGATCCGGCAGCAGCGCAGATCCCGGCAGCAGCGGGGCTGGGCCCTTCCTGCGGCAGGAACCTCCCGAGGAGCCGTTTCCTCGTCGGGCGGCAGCGGGTCCCCTCCGCCACCGTCCCGTCCCGCCCGCCGAGGGGACAGGACGCGCCCCGAGCTGCAGCGGGGGCCGGGCACGCCCCCGCCGCGGAGCCCGGCCCCGTCTCTCGTCGAGGCGGCGGCGGAAACCGGGCGAGTCGGGACCGGCCCGGCGCGGGCACGAGCGGCACCGCGGGCGCGCACCCGCCCCAGCGCCGGCCGCAGGTGAGAGCGGGGCTCGGGCACCGGGGCTCGGGCACCGGGGCTCGGGGGCTTTGGGGTCTCGGGCATGGTGGCGAGGATGGTGGCGGTGACCCCAGGGTGTTCCAGCAGGGTCGGGGGTTTGCGAACCCGCCGCGTAGGGCGGCAGCTCAGCGGGGACCCCGAGGGAGCTGAGCGGGGGGTCCTCGGCCCAGGAGGGGCTGGGCGCTGCCGTCACCTGCCCCTGCCCCGTGTCCCGCAGGCGGAGGCGCGGGGAGGCCATGGAGGCGGCGGAGCCGGCGGAGGAGGCGCTGGTGCTGGTGGAGTACGGCTTCGAGTACCGCGCCAAGGACGGCACCTTGGTCTCCATCAAGCCCAACGAGCGCTATGTCCTGCTCAAACGCACCAACCCGCACTGGTGGCACGTCCGCAGGAGCGGGGACGCCCGGCCCTTCTACATCCCGGCCCAGTACGTCAAGGAGCTGCCGCCCATCGCTGCCCCAGCCCCGCTTGACCCCCCGCCACCGGGACGTGCTGCGGCGGAGCCGGCCGCGCTCGTCCCTCAGCCCCCGCCAGCCTACGAGTATCGCTTCATCGGGGCCGCCGAGCCGGGGCAGCCGGCAGGAGGGTGCCCGGTGCCCAGGAGGGACTCGGTGCCCAGGAGGGACTCGGTGCTTCAGAAGGATTCTGTGCCCAGGAGAGACTCGGTGCCCAGGAGGGACTCGGTGCCCAGGAGGGACTCACCACCATCACTCAGCTCTTTTCGGGTCCTGCCGGGGCTGACCCCGCACCCCGCTGAGCCTGTGAGACCTTCGCACTCCCTGGATGACCTGGCGCGGGTGACACCAGCAGCTCGCAGTGCCACTGCTGCCATGGGGGCGCGCGGGGACCCCCCCGGACACGCTCGGCCGCTCGGGAAGAGCCGCTCCGAGACCCTCTGCGCCTCCGGCAAGGACAGGGACGTGGCCAGGAGGTGGCCGGGGGCCGGCCCCGCGACTCAGGTACGGTGACATCCCCGCGGCTGTCCCCAAAAGCTGTGCTGGGGGGTGGTTAGCGGGTAGGGGTGTTGAGCGTCGCCCCCTCGGCTGACTCAGTGGCCGTGTTCCCCCACCATGACCCTGTGACCCCCGGCACAGAGTGGGGTGACACCCCGGCACCGCAGCCACTGCTGGGACACCCCACATCTCCCCACTGAGCTGACCCCATGGGACAAACCTGCAGGTGACCCCACCGTAGGGGTTTGCCCGATTTAACCATTTCGGAGGTGTGAGGGACCCCACACACAGGGACACCCCCCGCACACCCTCCATCCTCAGCCCCTGGCCCGTGCCTCAGTTCCCCCACCCTCATGGGCACCCCTGGGCTCTCTCAGCCCCCTGTTCTTCTGCAGAACCCCGTCTCTGGGTCTCTGGGGGGTGCTCGGCGTCACCCAGAGGGGTTTTGCAGCGATCCCTCAGGTTCCCGGCGCGATCCGGGATGAGCGGAGGCAGAAAGGGTTAACAGGGAAGCGCGGCAGCTCCTCCCTGCCGGGGCGGGAGCCTCACCTGGGCGCAGCACCCATTGACCGAGGTGGGTGCTGGGTGCACCCCGCACAGGCCAGCGCCCCGACACCCCAAGCCCACGCTCACCCCACACCAGTAAGTAGCAAAGGGCTCTGCCCAGCACCCCCTGGGCTGCACCTCCCCGAGGGGGGCACCCAAGGGTGGGGGTCCCCGCCGGCCACCAAGGCGGGCGGGGCTACAGAGGGTGAGACAGTGCCGGCAGAGGGGTGGGGCCCACGACCTTGTCCACTCCTCACTTGTCCCCGAGCACGTCACTTCGGAGTGACCCCGGGCACCTGGAGCACCCCAAGCCTTGGTGTCCCCCACTTCAGGGGAGGCTGGAGGGATTGTGCCACCTGGGGGAGTTGCTGGAGGAAATGGGGTATTGGTGGTGGGGGGCTGTGTTTTGCGCCCCATTTTCACCTGATTTTCACACCATTTTATACCTGGTGCCCCCAGCTGTGCCTTTTGCACACTCAAAGCCCCTGAGCCCCCTCTGGGGGTGACCCAGCGTAGTTCCCAACCCTAATGCCACCATGGGAGCATTCCCCTTCCCTGCCCAAATCCACCCTGTGCCAAAACCATCCAGCATCGGGCATGGCAGGACCATGGTGGCCTCGGACCTGCCACCCTCTGCACCCCATGGGATGGGATGGGATGGGATGGGATGGGATGGGATGGGATGGGATGGGATGGGCTGATCCCAGTGTTGTGGGGACACAGCAGCTCCAGATCAACTTCCATTTGATCAGTGTGACACCAGATGGGCCACCCAAAATCATCCCGGTGCAATTCCTGCTCAGCATCACCCTGGAGCAGTTCCTGCTCGCTTGCCTTGGCTTTGCCAGAGTGGGTGACGGGTGGCAGGTTGTGGGTGACGGGTGACAACAACCCCACGAGCAGCCAGTTCCGCCCTGGGCGTCTCTTCCGCTCCCCGAGCCCGGCAGGAAGCGCGGTGGGTGCAGGGCCCGGCTCGGGCGCCAGCGGCGTCACCGGAGCCCCGTGCTGTCCCCACGGCTGTGCCCACCCTGGTGCCCCCAGAGCTGCCCCGGTGTCACTGCCATGGGTGACCGGGTGCCAGGGGGGCCGCGGCGGGCCCGGAGCAGGGCATTGCAGCTGCTGCACTTGGGGAAGGTAGGCAGCACCCAAGGGTGCTCCCAGCCGGGGGACAGGGGGGTGTTTGGGGGTCGCCCCTTGCCAGGCTCCCCCTCAGGTTTCCCTGGGGGTTTATGGGCACCGGCGGTGCCACAATGCCCATCCCTAAGCAGGGAGGGGCACCCAGCCCAATCCCCCTGGGGGTGAGGACCCCCCAGGGATGCACCCATAGGAGAGAGAGAGGTGCTGGGGGGCCTCAGTGCCAGGGATGCCCCATTGCCACCCCCGTGTCCCTTGTCCCCAGGAGGAGGGTGGACCCCCCAGTAGTTTCTGACCCTGCTCATCATGGAGGGGGGTTGTGGGGTAGTGGGGGGAGGATGAGAGGTGCCATGGAGCTGCTGTCCCACTCTGATCCAGGGTGTCCCCAAGGACAGTGCACCTACTGTCGCCTCCCTCGGGGTGATGGGCAGGGCTGGAGTTGGGACCTTTGTCCCCGCAGCCATTAGTGAGAGACTCAGGCTGTAAAGCCGGGGAGATCAAAGAGTGATAGGAGAGGGCTCCCTGCTGGCAGCACCCTCCTGGTCCCAGGGGACACATCCCCCTACCCCAGGCACCCCACGGGTGGGGTCAGCCAGGCTGGTGCGGGGGATGCTATTTTGGGATGTGGTGATGGGACTGTCTGGTTCAGCATCCGGCTCTGGGCAGGAGGCCGGGGCTGTGGGTGCTGGAAATGTCCCAGGGTGCAGGTAGTGAGAGTTCTGGGGTGCATGCGAGGGTGAGATGGGTGTGAGTTTTGGGGTGCTGGGGAGGTGGGAGCAGAGGCTGGGGGTGCAGGGGATGAGCAGGTTGGAGGTGTTGGGACTGCAGATGTCAGTGCAGAGGTTGTGGGTGTTCATGGTTTGGGTGTCAGTGCCGTGGGTGCTGCACAGAGCAGGTGATGCAGGTACCAGTGATGTGGGTGTGGATGATGCAGGTACCGGTGATGCAGGTGCTGCATGAGTGGGTACCAGAGACACAGGGGTTGATGATGTGGGTGACAATGTCAGTGCAGAGGTTGTGGGTGTTCATGGTTTGGGTGTCAGTGATGTGGGTACTGTATCCAGGGGGTGATGCAGGTACCAGTGATGCAGGTGTGAGTGATGCAGGTACCAGTGACACAGGTGCTGCATGAGTGGGTACCAGGGACACAGGTGTTGATATGTGGGTGACATGGGTACCAGTGATGGAGATGCTGATGATGCAGTGACACAGGTACCAGAGCTGCAGGTGCTGCTGCAGGTGCTGCACGCAGTGGGTCATGCAGGTGCCAGTGACATGGTGCTGGTTGTGAGGGTGCTGCCAGCAGCAGGTGACACAGGTGCTGGCACTGGGTTCCTCAGTGTCCCTCCATGTGCTTATCCCAGTGCCAGTGGGTGCTCCCTGCCCCACTCTGGGTGCTGTGAGTGCCCCTCTCCACCTCCTGGCCTCCCACCACTGGCACCTCCTGCCCCAGACCTTTGGGTGCCCAGGCAGGGGGGTGACCCAGCAGCCAGGGCAGGATCCAGCCCCTCGGTGCCTCACCCATCGGGGTGCCACCCGGACACCACAGCGGGGACATCCCAGGAATGCCATCCCAGCTCAGTAGTGACACATCCGTGTTCCCCCAGGCACGAAAGGAGTCAGAGGAGACACCTGATCCCATCTACCTCAACATCCAGGAGCTGCGGGAAGAGGCCGCCGCCCGCTCGGCCCCAGAGGAGCCCGGCGGCTCCGTGTCGGACTGGGAAACCCACACGGACACGGACAGTGGACATTTGTTTTATTACAACCCGGTGACGGGCGAGACCACGTGGGATTGTCCCTTCGGGCAGGCGGACGATGGAGTGAGTCCCGCCGCCTCTCCCGCCTCCTCGCTCGCACACAGCCCGGAGCTTCCCGAGTGGGAACAGCACGTGGACGAAGGAAGCGGACAGACTTTTTTCTATAATTCGGTGACAGGTGAGACGTCGTGGGACCCCCCCACTGCAGGAGACAAGGGCAGCCCCCGGGAGATCCCTGGGGGGACGCGGTACGGTGCCATGGAGCAGAGGGTGAGCACCCGGCGAGGCGCGGGCGTGGGCTTGGGGTGGGGCAGAGACAGGGGTGGGAGTGGAGACAGGGATGGGAGTGGAGACAGGGGTGGGAATAGAGGTGAAAATGGGATGGGAGTGGAGACAGGAATGGGATTGGACACAGGGATGGGATTGCAGATGAAAAAGGGATGAGAGTGGAGACAGGGATGAATGTGGAGAGAGGGATGGGATTAGAGACAGGGATCAGAATGGAAATGGAGAAGGGATGGGATGAAAATGGAGACAGATTTGGATTGAGAAATATGTGGGAGATGCAATGGAGATGAAAACATAGAGACAGATGGGAATGGAGATGAAGACAGATGAAGATGGACATGGGTATGGATACAGGGATGTAGGAAAGGACGAGAATACAGATGGAGACAGGGATGGGATGAAAATGGAGGCAGAGCTGAAGATCGAGAAAGGATGGGAAATTAATATGGAAACAAAGATGGAGATAGGGAATGGAGTTGGGAACAGATAGAGGGATGTAGAAAGGGAGGGGAATGGAGATGGAAACAGGGATGGGATGGAGATGGAGACAGGGATGAAGTTGGAGATAGGAGACAGAGATGGGAATGAAGATGAAGGTGCAGATGAAGATGGACAATGGAATGGATACTTGGATTGAGTTGGAGATGGAAACAGGAATGAGAATGGAGATGGAGACAGGGATTGAGATGGGAATGGAGACGAAGATGGGAATGGAGATGATGGAGACGGGGCAGCGCCCACCTGGGCGAGCAACACAGAGATGCAGATCTCTTGGCTGGGCACAAGATCTTGAACTTTCTTTTCTCTCCAGCCACCCACTCCAGAAACGGATTATCCCGACCTGTCTCCAGATGAGCTGGAGTGTTATCCTGAGGAAGACTATTCGCCTGTGGGCTCCTATGAGCAGGGGGCCTCTCTCTGCCTGTCCCCGAGGCGCCCTGAGGAGCTGGGCTCGCCCCCGGGCTGGTATGGGCATGGCCACCCTGAGGGACTCATGTTCTACCCCGAGCACTTCGCCCCTGACACGGTACGGGAGAGGGGTGGGGATAGGGACTGGGACAGGGTTGAGGATGGGGATGGGGCCAGGGAAAGGGACAGGAAATGGAAGAGGGATGAACAAAGGGATAGGAACTGGGATGGAGACGGGGATGGGTTATGGACAAGGACAGGGACAGCAATGGGGATGGGGACAGGAGCAGGGACAGGGAAAGATGCAGACAGGGGTGACTGCCAGGGATAAACATCCTCACAAACCCACAGAGCAGGGGCTGCAGGGGCTCTGGGGTGCCGTGGGTGCATGGCCCAGCCCCCTCCTGGCAGGGGCACCTCGGGCTTTACCTGACCCCTCCCTGCCCAGGTGCCATCGGGTGGCCGCCACGAGCGGGCCAGCAGCGGCTCCAGCCAGGACAGCGGGCTCTTCGCCTGGCACGGCGCCGTGTCACCGGCACCGGGCAGCAAGGAGGACAAGGTGAGCACCCAGGGAGGGGTGCCCAGCCTGCCCTTGCCCCAGCACCAGGGACAGCAAGGGCCAAGCTTGACACCCCCACCTTCACTTTCCAGTTTAAATGCCTTGAAAAAGCCGGGGTGCTCAACCGGACCAAGACAGTGGACAGAGGGAAGCGGCTCCGGTAAGGACATCCCGGTGTCCCCTGCCACTGGAGACAGGAGGCCAGCAGGGGGAAGGGGCTGTGCTATCCCTGTGTGACCCCTGCTCCCCTCCCCAGGAAGAACTGGAGCTCCTCCTGGACTGTGCTGGAAGGGGGAATCCTCACCTTCTTCAAGGACTCCAAGCACTCAGCTGCCAGTGCCTTGGTAAGAGCCCCAGTGGACTTGGGGCAGGGCAGCTCCCATGGCATGGGACCAGCACCCATGAGACAGGGCCAGCACCCATGGGACTGGACAAGGACTCCCAGGATGTGGCCAATATGTGTAGGATAGGGGCAGAACCCACAGGGAACACAGCGCTGGCCTCACCTCTGGGGTGGGTGTTCAGGGCTCTGTCTAGGGCATGCAGAGGCTCTTGGGGCAGGGGGACCATGGCCAGCACCCACAGAATGAGGCCAGCATCCACAGGATGGGACCAGTATCCTTAGGACAGGGCAAGGATCCACAGGATAGGATTGAAGCTGCAGGATAGGACCGGCACCCATAGGATGAGGCCAACATCCAGGGGACAGGGCCAGCATCCACAAAATAGGACCCCCAGCACTGTGGGGAGGAATCAGCACTTGAAGGATGGGACCAGGACCCACAGGCCAGGGCAGGTGCCCTGCACAGGGACCTCAGCACCGGGACGTGTCTGCTCACCCCCCGCACACCCAGGCTCCCTGCAGGGGTGGCAGTGTCGGAGCGGCTGGCACTGGTGGGAGCCAGCAGGAGGAAGCAGAGCCAGCCCCAGTCCCCCCCCCGGGTCCAGCCCCCCCCGCGGTGCCCAGCAGCTGCCACCGGATGCAGAAGTTGCCGTGGGTCTTGCAACACCCTGTGGTGACAGCAACGGGGGGGAGGAAGGCAGGGGACCCACAGCTGGGGAAACAGTGCTGGCCCCACCTCGGGAGTTCAGGGCTCTGTCTGGGGGTCCAGAGGTCCTGGGGCAGGGGGACCGTGGCCAAAGCACCCCAAAATCCAGGATATGGGGAGAAACAGTGGGTCTGATGCAAAATCCCTTGCAAAATCCCCCTCCTTGGGGACAGCCACCTTATCCCTTCCTGCAGTGTCACTGAAAGGGGCCCCAAAGCTGGATCCCCCCCCAGGGTCCCTAGGGAGGGCTGGGAATGTCCCTTGAGGTGATGGCAGCCCTAGGACCTGGCTGTCCTCAAGCTGGTGGCCATGACCCTCACCCCACCTGTGTCCTAGTCCTGCAGAGACCATAGGAGGGGACAGAGAAGTCCCACAAAGGACATCTGGCAACTTTGCCTTTTCTGGAGGAGTGCCAGTCGTTCTTGCTTCTGCCAATTTATGTGCCTTTGATCTTTGATGGGATCCCTGGCGACAAAGTGTGGGCATCAAAGATCAAAGGAGGTTCCTGCAGAGGAGGGCAGCCCACACCCCCCAGCAGGATCCCGGTGTCCCTGTCCCCTCTGGGCAGGTGCCACCCTCATTCCCTTGTCCCCACAGAGGCACCCCAGCACCCTGACCACCCCCGAGCACACGGTGAAGCTGCACGGGGCCACCCTCACCTGGGCCGGCAGGGACAAGTCCAGCAAGAAGAATGTCCTGGAGGTGAGCAGGTGACAGCAGGAGGGACACTGGTCACACCCCAGGTCCACACGTGGCCCACAGGGCAGTGCCATACCTGCCCAGTTCATCCCAGCAGGGAATGGAAGTGGGGACGCTGGGGACGTGCCAGGGTGGGAGTACAGGGACTGGCACAGCCGGTCACTGTCCCGTTCTGATGGGCACGGCGAGGCCACCAAGGGACATCCTGGCTCCCAGAGGGGCTTTGCACAGGCAGGAGCCGCTCCAGCCCGTCCAGCTCCCCGAGCCGGCACCGTTTGGTGTCATCGCAGCTGGCGCCGGGCTCAGCCACATCCTGGTTCCCAAATCCGCGTGGTTGCGGCAGCCCCGTGCCCTTTCCCTGACCTTTGCCTGTCGCTCCGGCAGCTGAGGACGCGGGAGGGCTCGGAATTCCTCATCCAGCATGACTCGGAGCAGATCATCACTGCCTGGCACAAGGCCATCGCCGACAGCATCGGCCGGAGGGTGAGCAGCGCTCCCCACCCCGCGGCCGCCCCGGGCCGGGCCCGCGTCTCACGGTGCCGCTTCCGTAGGGCTCCGACATCCCCGGAGAGGAGGAGGCCGAAATTCGGGCTGAATTCGGCTCCCGGGAGAGGCTGGGGGGCGGCGAGGAGCGGAGGGCAGGTGAGCACGGGCACCCGGGATGGGCACGGGGGCCGGGCAGTGCCACCCACCCTGCGGGCCCCGGGCTGGGGAGCGCCCGGGCGGACCCTGGGGACGGTGCTGACGTGCGCCATGTCCCCGGCAGCAGCCGGGCAGGTGACGGGCAGTGCCGAGAGTGACACCAGCCGAGTCCGGAACAAACTCCGCAAGTTCCTGCAGAGGCGGCCGACGATGCAATCCCTGCGGGAGAGGGGCTACATCAAGGGTGGGTGTGCGGGGCAGGGTCGGGGGGTGCTGGCAGGGGGCTGGATCGAGGATTCGTGCTGGGATGAGGGCAAATCCACAGTGGGATGGCGTGTTGGGATAGGGCCTGTCAAGGGTGGGTGCTGGAATGGGGCTGAGTCCCTCGGGATGTCTGCAGGCTGGAGGGCGAGAGGGGACAGCCAGGGCTGGAGCTGGGACAGCCAAGGGGGAGCTGGGACACTGGGTTGAGTGACCAAGCCCAAGCCTGACCCAACATCTTGGTGATGGGCTCGGGCATGTCCCATCACCTCCAGCCACCTTGGTGGGACATTCCTATGGGAACAAGATCCTCTGTCCCCAACCCTGTCCCCCACTAGCCACCCTCCTGGTGTCCCCTGGCCATGCTCATGTCCCTGCTGTGTTCCTAGACCAGATTTTTGGCTGCTCGCTGGTGGCCCTGTGCGAGCGGGAGCGAGGGACAGTGCCACGCTTCGTCCTGCAGTGCATCTGGACCGTGGAGAGGAGAGGTACAGGGGACAGGGACAGCCTGGGACACCAGCATGGGGACATGGGGACAGCTCCAGCAACAGCCTACATGGGATGTTCGGGTTTTCCTTGGAAGCCTGGTACTGGCTCCTGTGGGCACTGACACAGCTGTCACCATGTGCCACCTGGCTGTGGGCACCCTCCAGGGGACAGCAGGGACACATGGGGACACATGAGGGAACGGAGTTCCCTCAAGAGTGCCTAATGTCCCATCCCAGCATGGATTGTTTAACCGGGAGCTTTTCCCCATCTCCACCTGCCCAGGTCTGGACATCGATGGGCTGTACCGGGTCAGTGGCAACCTGGCCACCATCCAGAAACTGCGCTACAAGGTGGAGCACGGTACGGTCACCCACGGTGACAGTGGGGACATTGGGGTATCACCCCCTTCAGGGGCAGAGGGACAGGGGAGGGGGCAGCCAGGGACCACCCACCCATCCCTGGGGCTCTGGACACAGCTGAGATGCTGCCCCACCCCCAGACGAGCATCTGGACCTGGATGATGGGCGCTGGGAGGACATCCACGTTGTCACCGGGGCACTGAAGCTCTTCCTGCGGGAGCTGCCAGAGCCACTCGTCCCCTTCAGCCACTTCGACAAGTTCATCGCTGCCATCAGTGAGGGACAGGGACAGGGGTGGGATGGGATGGGATGGGATGGGATGGGATGGGATGGGATGGGATGGGATGGGATGGAATCCATGGGATGGGACGGGATCCATGGGACGGGATGGGATGGAGACAAGGATGGGAACTGGGATCAGGCAGAGATGGGATGGGGAAGGGTACAAGGATGGGGTTGGGGACAGGAATGAGATAGAAAAGGGATGGCAATGGAGACAGGAACTGGGACGGGGGGGATGATGGAGATGGGGATGAGGATGGGGACAAGGATGGGATGAGGATGGGAATGGAGGTGGGGACAGAGATGTTGTGATTGCTGGAGCCAGCACCCCACCGTGCCTTCCCTCCCTGGCAGAGATCCAGGACCCATCCATGCGGGGCCACTGCATCCGGGACCTGGTGCTGTCCCTGCCGCCCGCCCACCATGACACCATGAAGGTCCTTTTCCGCCACCTCTGCAGGTGACACCCCCTTGTTCCCTCAAACCCACCCCAGTGTAGGAAGGCAGAACACGACTCTGGGGACAGGCCCCGGGGTCAGGGCCATGCTGGTGACACTCCCCTGTCCTGCAGGGTGGTGGAGCACAAGGAGGAGAACCGCATGTCAGTGCAGAGCGTCGCCATCGTCTTCGGCCCCACACTGCTGCGGCCGGCCAGCGAGGAGAGCAACATGGCCATGCACATGGTCTTCCAGAACCAGGTGGTGGAGCACATCCTCAACCACTATGGATACATCTTCCCTGATGGATAAACGCTGGGGATGAGCCTGGCAGTGGGGACTTGATGGAGCAGCGTCTCCAGGAAGGACTTGGCCATGTGTCACCTTGGTGGTGGCTCCATGGAGGGCGGCGCGGTGACCCGGCTCGAGGGAGGGACACCCCAGGGGGTTCTCCTTGGCCACCCTGTCCCACCGAGGCTGGATGTGGGGAGCCGGGCCCCAGGGGGTGTGTGGGGCTCGGGGGGTCCCCGTGGTCAGTGGAGCCCTGCAGTGCCCCCCTGGAGCCGGCATTCCCGGGTGGCAGCAGGGAGGGGCCGGCGGGCAGGGCCTGCTGGGCGGTGGCACCGGCGGGCAGGGAGGGGCCGGGCAGTGCCGTGGCTGCAGCCCCTGCCCCGATCCCAAATAAAGAGCCCATGCAGACACAGCGCTGAGGTGTTGCTGGCAGGACAAGGGGATATCCCAGGGACGTGGGTGGCACAGCAGGGGCTCAGTGCTCCTTGGCTCCTGGTGATCTTCAGGGACACCACATGGACTTCGTACCCCATGAGGATGAGGGGACCTGGGACACCATTCCTGGCTGGTGTCACCAAGCACTGTGTCACCACAGACAGCGAGACGTGATGAGAGCCACACAGTCACGGGACAGGAGCCGTGACTGGAGTTCCCATCACCCAGAGCCACCTCCTGGCGTGGGGGCACTTTGGGTCATGACACAACCAGGACTGGATGGGACGAAAAAGGATGGCAAGGAACATGCTGAAGTGCTTTGGGACATCATGGGGACAACAAAGGGCATGGCAGGGACACGAGGGGGAGGTGTGGGGACATGGGACACATGTCCCTCGCTTTGAAACACAGCAAGGACAGCACATGGCAGCAGGTGGGGACACAGGGATGGCTGGGGTACAGAGGGGACATTTGGGGACACAGCAAGGGCATTTCGGGGTGTGTTGGGGATGTAATGGGGCCAGGCTGGACTGCAGTGGGGACACTTTGGGACAAGACAGAGACACTTTGGGGTGCAGTTGCATCATTTTGGGTCACAAGGATTTTCAGGGCACAAAGGAAAACCTCAGAAGTGCAGGGACGGAGGTTTGGGACACAATGGGGACAATTTGGGATGGAACTGGGACACTTTGGGACACAAGGGGACACAACTGGGGACAGGAAAGGGACTGTGCGGAATGCAGGGAGGGAATTTGGGGGCACAAGGGGATGCCTGAGGGGACAAGACAATGCTTCGAGGGTGCAGCAGGGGCACTTTGGGACTGAACGGAGCCACCTCGGGGTGCACTGGAGCCAGACTGGAGCACAAGGAGGTACTTTGTGACACGAGGGGATTCTTCAGGAGCGCAGTGGGAGTACTTTGGGACGTTTTGGGACACTTTTGGATGCATGGGACGCACATCAGAACTTTGCAAGGCGCAGGGGACCCTCGGGCCCCCTCGGGGCGGGAGGGGGGCGGTGCCGGGGCAGAGCCCGGCCGATCCTCGCTCCCACCCCGCTCCCTCTCTGCTCCCTCCCCGCTCCCATCCCGATCCCACCCCGCTCCCGGCCCCGCTCCGCGCCCCCCGCCCGGCTCCATCTTGTTCGCGGCCGCGGCGGAGCCGCTCCAGGTGCGGGGGTCCGGGAGGGATTGAGGGGACCCGGGAGGGTCGCAGGGACCCGCCGGGGGAGCTGGGCCCCACTCCCAGGAGCCCCCAGCAGTGTGCCCCCACTCCCAGGAGCCCCCAGCAGTGTGCCCCCACTCCCAGGAGCCCCCAGCAGTGTGCCCCCACTCCCAGACCCCCCCCCAAACCCCCCAGCAGAGTCCCCCCATCCCAGAACCTCCCAAACCCCTCTCCCAGTGCTTCCCCAGGCTCCCCCTTTCCCATTGGAGCACGTCCCACCTTCCCTGGTGGTGCTGGGCAGGGTCTGACCCCAGCCCAGCCGGGATCACCCCCCGAGGCTGGGGGTGGCGCTGGGGACACTTTGTGGGGGCCTGGGGACGCCCCCGGGGCTGTGCCCCCTCCAGGACCAGGCACCAGGGGGTTACAGCAAAAGCAGCTTTGGCAGCCAAAATCCCTCTTAAGGCTTTAATCGCAGTGAGAAAGTGGTGGAGGGGGGGCGGGGGGAGCACCCTGTCCCCCCCTCACTGTCCCCAACCCGTGGGGTTGCAGGACAACTGCAGCCAGGCTGGAAATCTAAGCCAAATCCCTAAACCTGGCTTAAAATTCAGTGGGATTTAGGGGCGAAAGAAAAAAAAGCTGTAGGGGACCCTGGGAGCGATCCCTCCCATAGAGCCGTGTCGGGACCCCCCAGAGACCCTCACCCCCACCTCTGGGCCTCCGGAACGACCCCCAGGGCCAAGAAGGACCCCATCAGCCCCGTGACCCCCCGGTAACCGGGACTGTGCGGGATCGGGAACCGCCAGCAGCGATCCCCCGCCCCGATCCCCCCAGACAAACACCCTCGGGTCCTCCCTCCAGCAGCGACCCCCCTACACCCCTCCCCAGACACTCTCAGAGCCCCCTGAACCCCCTAAACAGCAAAGCCCCCACCACCAGATCCTCCCAGGATCCACTCAGCAGATCACTCATCCCCCCTCACAGAGCTTCACGGGACCCCCAGCAGCCCCCACACCCCCCCAGACCCTCTCAGGGACTCTCCAGACACCCCCCAGCAGCAGCCCCTCCTCCCATATCCTCGTAGGGCCCACCCAGCATCAAAGCCCCCACCCCCAGGAGCCCCCCCCGACGGGTCCCCCCCCC